GGGGGGGGGGGGGTGGAGAGAGAAGGCAAGCAGGCTCCCTGCTACCAGCGCAGAGCTCAACCAAGAGCCAAAACCAAGAGTCCGACACTTAACCAACTGAGCTACCCAGGGGGTCCCAATATCTGATACATTTTAAATGATTTTGCTAGTTTGGCACATTCGAAATTAACACAGAAGTCTGAAAGAAACCAGACTTCTTTCTCTAGACTCAGAAATGAGTACACAGACTTTCGCTGTTACAGAGACATTAGAAATAAAAATTAGACGTGCCATTTAACCTAAGATTTAGACCAATCAACAAAAGAACCTCTGAAAGGGGCGCTTGGGTGGCTCAGTGGGTTGAGCATCCAACTTCGGCTAGAGATATGATCTCACAGTTGGTGAGTTCAGGCCCCACATCAGGCTCTCTCCTTTGTCTCCCTCTCTCTCTGCCCGCCCCCCCATTCTCATTCTCTCTCTCAGAAATATTAAAAAAAAAAACAAAAAACTGAAAAACTGTCCAAGAGGCTTTTGCATTTTTAGCTACACAGAATTTAACAAAAGGTCATAATTAGCAAAAATATGACACATTTACATATAAATGATGTTAAAATTTCAATTACGCTGTAGATTTGTCTGTTTTTCCCTTTAGTTCTACCACTTTTTTTGCCTATGGGTCTATATATTCAGAATTACATCTTCTTGATTAAATGCTCCTTTTATAATTATGAAATATTCTTGTCTCTTACAATATTCTATCTAGAAGTCTCTGATTAGTACAGCCACACCAGATTTCTAACGGTTAATATTTGCATTGTATACATACTTTCCCACACTTTTATTTTCCATGTGGCTTTCTATTTAAAATGTTACTTCGTGTAAACAGCATATACTTAGGTCTTTCCTTTTACAAAATCTAGTTTGACAATCTCTCCCTTTTAACTGATGTGTTCAGCCCATTAAATGGAATTACTAGTATGGCTGGGTTTAAGTCCACTACCTTGGATTATATTTCTTTTTATCCTATTTGTTCTTTATTCTTTTCCTACCGTCTTTTGGTTAAAATACTTACTTTTTAGTATTCCAATTTTATTTCCTGAATTGGCTTTTTAGCCTTACTTCTTTGTGCTAGTTTTTAGTGCTTGTGTTAGTGTTTAATAACAGTCTACTTTTAAATATTATTTGGACAATATAACTTTATAACTCCATTTACCATTGTCTTATATTTTACTGCTACAAAAGCTATAAACCCATAAAAAATTGTTACAAGTTTTCCTTTAAAAAGACAATAATCTTTGGGGCACCTGGGTGGCTCAGTCGGTTAAGCATCCGACTTCAGCTCAGGTCACGATCTCACGGTCCGTGAATTTGAGCCCCGCATCTGGCTCTGTGCTGACAGCTCAGAGCCTGGAGCTTGTTTCGGAATCTGTGTCTCCCTCTCTCTCTGCCCCTCCCCTGTTCATGCTCTGTCCCTGTCTGTCTCAAAAATAAACATTAAAAAAATTTTAAGACAATAATGTTCTAAAGACATTTAAATATACATATATACATAAAATACTTTTATAAAAAGGCCATTTATTTCTCATAGATATTTACCCATTCTGGTGCTCTTCCTTCTTGCTAATCTGGAGTTGTGTCTGCTACCGTTTCCTTTAGTCTAAAAAATTTTAGTAGTTCTTATAGTGCAGATCTTCCAGAGACAAATTATCTCAGCTTTTATCTGTCTGAAAATGTCTTTATTTTACCTTCATTTTTTTTAATTTTTTTTTTTTTAAGAGAGAGAGAGAGAAAGAGAGAGAGA